CTGAAGGGGAGAGCTTATAACGCAGCCTTCCGTCCAACCTTCCTATGGAATCTGGCCCATCACGCTGACAGACATCAAGAGGCTGGCTAACTTCGATCATGGCCGATTTCGCAACTTGGCTCATGTTTGATTAGAGTAGCGCGTGTGTTCGGCGGCATGTATATGGTGCAGGAAGAGCGAGTGAAGCGCCTAGCGCCATTATATCACGCACCAGGTTCCGATGGCGGGGCCACGTGCTGCGCATGCCAGTACACCAACTCGCGCGTCGTGTGCTGTTTGCGTGCCCAAAGTCTGGATGGAAGAGAATGAGGGAAGCCCAAGCGACAACTTGGTCAAAAAGGAGTGAAAACCCTGTTGGCGAATCCCGACTCTCGGGCTGGGGTCCCAAGGACGAAGAACACGTCTGGTTGGACATACTTGCTGATAAGGCGAAGAGCCAGTCCCAATGGTGGTTGTGTTGTGTTCCCGTGCTCATCCACTCTCCTTTAGAGTACCCCCATTTAAGATCTCATACCCAATGAATAATATGATTTTATTATTATATCACTTGCTTTTTGAACACTTGTAGTCTGTAATTCTAGTATAGTATCATTTTTGTATTGCCACACGTTAGCTGAGGTGTGTTTCTCACCCTCAGCTATCGTGTATTGATGATGATAGAACAGTTCATGCTCTATTGTTAGAGGGCGTAATGCTACTACTTAGGGGACCCCACCACAGGCTTTTGGCTAAACACCCCACTCGCAACGCAGCAGGACGAACTCTGAGAATCGCGCCCATCGAGAGCCGGTGACTGGTTGCTCGGTTCCTACGCTTTTCATCTGGATGTAAATCAAACAGGGGTCAAATCCTCACCATGATTAACTAAGAGACTGAAGAGAATGATTCTATGACAGCGCAGCGGAATGTTGATAGAGAATCTACATAGTGTGATAATTTAAAGCATCATTGGTACGCCAGCACGCCGTACCGACGCTTCACAACTACTAACAGTCGCGCGAGAGCTAAGCAGATAACGAGGTCGCTCGCGATTATAAGGATCCAAACGGGTGAGCTACAAAGTACAACGCAGGTGGGTATTATACTTTCGGTCGCTAACCGACATGTGATAACTTGGACAACAGAAATGAGCCAGTTGAGGAAGGCAGCATAAGTATAGTTTAGTGAACTGGAGACCTCAGGTTTGATTGTGCAAGTTATTTTAAAACATTCTAAAGTTATGGTATTTTTATGTATTGAGGAAGTAGGCGGTGTTCTAATGTTGCTTCTATTTGTTTGAGTCACACGCAAGACACTCGCATCTGCTTTGCTACGAAAATGGACGCGACCTGCAACTCGCCCGTCCCGCACTCAGCATCCGTTTACATCTTCCCCAACTAACTCTCTACTGGTGCCCCATCTTTAGGTTTAGCAACGTTATCGGCCATACAATAAACCTTTTCTAGCCTATTTTCGTGTGCTCTCTCGTTCGCTCTTTGTTGGCAGTTTAGACATGAATCCGATACAAAGCGCAAGACCGACACGCTATAATAGCATATTTGGCAGCGGCACCACCGACAAGACACCTGACATGAATAGTGCCGAACAACTTCGCCGATGATGGACAGAAAACACATATAGAACTATTTGATGTGTTAAACGAAATAGCTGCGTTTCAGGGTCCATTTGCGTCTGAAGAGCGGTGGATGAGCTTGGACAATCCATTGAAAAGCGATAGGGTGGGAAAGAAAAGAATGCCGAGTGTTCCATACGAGGTCACACATGGAAGCCGTTTAAACAAAGAAGACCGAAGCTCCATGGATCACTCTTTCCACTAGAGTGGTAAATCACTCGAATGGTCTACCGAAGGAAACTGTGGACGCGCTATCCGAGGAAAGTGTCAAGCGGCTGTTAGAAAACCATTTGTTGAGTGCTGGGACCTTGCAGCCATCAATGCAACCGAGACGAACCCTCGAGGAAGGTCGTAACGCAGCGACACGCATCGAACCCAGAATGATTCGGAATCGATGGACTTGACAAGGGTTTTCGCTCCTGCTCAGTACAGCTCAATGAACTCAAGTAATGGAAATGTTAGTACTACTTGGTTGCTTGGACTGGCTGCCCCATCCTCGAACCCAAATAAATCGTCCACACTTACTACTTATGGGCAATTTTAACTGTCCGTGAATACGATGGCCTGATGTGCATTTGATGCCTGGACATAGTGAGGTTAAAGCAAACATTGTGGATTTGGTACTTGAAACTGGTGCATCACAACACATATGCTAGCTAAGACGCATAACACCACCTTCAACCCCGTTATGTCTTGATCTGATGTTAACGAGCTACGAACGAGTGCGTGACATTCGAATCTTGGAACGCCTAGTTACAAACGACCACTCAGTGCTCATAGCTGTTATGGAATTACTTTGCCGCATTCACGTCTGCTGAAACCAGCTTACAACTACTGGAAAACGGACTTTGACGGTCTAATTCGAGCCGCCAGCCAATTGGATTGGTCTCTGTCACAATATGCATCTGTAGAAGACTGTTGGACATTTATACAAGGAGAGATTGACATCATTGTGTTCTTAATTTGTGCTCTTAAAATGTCGGAAGGTTGGACCGATTAAGCCTCGTTAGTTTGACAAGAAGTATGGCAATCTGGCTCGGAAACGGTTCAGACTGTGGGACAGATTCCTCCTCTCTGGCTCTGCCAATGACTACGAAAGGTATAAAAGTTAGCCGAACCTCTTCAGCAGTGCAAAAAGAAACAAGCAGCGAAAGTTCGAAGAGCAGCTTGCAATCGCCGCGAAGACCACCCCAAAGAGAATCTTGGTTTACGTGAAGCGACGCCTTAAGCCGGAAGATGATGTGGCACGGCTGGATGGCCGGGACGGACAGCCCTTAGCCTCCAGCACTGAGCGCGCGTCCGCGTTGGCGCTGCACTTCGCTTCTGTATTTGCAACTGACCAGGTGTCTGTACCGAGGTCGGACGTGTACCGCAATTATCAAACTCGACAGTCTGGATTGCGGCGTTGAATAAGTACGTCAACTAGTTGTCAGTCTTGATGGCACCAAACCTGGAAGACCTGATGGGCTTCACCCACCGATTCTCGAGTCACTTTCGGCCATCATCCCTCCTGCCGTGACTGACCTTTTCAACAGGTCGCTGTCCGAAGGTTCGTTGCCGATTGACAAAATGTTCGGTGGTGAAGCCTATACCGAAAGGCGACGATCCTAGCAAAGTAGATAACCACAGGCCTATTTGTCTGACACCTATTTTGGCAAAGGTTGTTGAGAAAAGCGTAAAAAAAGAGATTATTACAGTTGCTACAGTCAAAAGAGGTCCTGACATCCACACAACACGGTTTTATGCAAGGCCGCTTATGCATTACAAACTTGCATTGACGAGGCATGAGTGTTTGAAGGCAAGAAGGGGAAGTCTGTTGAAGTGATTTTCAACGATTTTAGTAAAGCGTTCGACAAGGTCAGCCATGAGGTCCTCCTTCACAAACTCAGGATGTGCGATCCGCGACTTTCTTTTTGGACGAAAATGGAGGGTACAGGTCGAGGACCATCCAACTGACTGGTATCCCTCTAAAAGTGGCGTGACCAAAGGCACTGTGCTGGAGCCCACTCTTTCGCTGATCCACATCAACGACCTACCTGAGCTTCTCCGGTCGCCGTGTACTTTGTTTGCGGATGACATGAAGATTTGGAGAGAAATCGACGCTCACGACGACTGTGGCGTACTTCAGCAAGACCTCAACCGCCTATTCACATGGTCTGCAGAAGTTCAGCTCCCGGTCAACCCAGCCAAGTCTGTATTTATGAACCTGGGAAGGGTGCCGACAGCCGAAACTACAATCTTGACGACCAACTGTTGTATCCCAAATTCTGTGGGAAGGACTTAAGAGTATTCTGGCGTTACGATTTGAGGTCCGTGGATAACACGAACAGGTTATATCCTAACGGACTGCGCATGCTTTGGGCGCTCAAGCGTAGCTTCGGCACATGGTCTGAAGAGGTTGCCACTTGCTTCTTCTCTTTCATTATTACACATGCTAGAGTACGGTTCGCTCGACTACTTTCCAGTTACCCGAGGCAAGGCACAAGAGATCGAACAAGTCCAACACGTTACTACCAGACTCATCCAGAGTTTACGTGGTTTGGGGTATGAAGACCGTTGCGAGAAACTTGGACTCCACATCTTGTCCTACTGTCTGGTGCTAGTCGACCTCATTATGACCTACCGTATGCTACATCTCGGTGACTGCCCCATGCTGAGGCCAATGCTGCACTTACGAGGGCCGTGCAGCACACGCGGACACAGATACACACTTGTCGTGCCGGGTGTGAAACGTATTCCCCACCCCCTGTGCTTCGAACGGAGAGTGGCAAATATTTGGAAGTTTGCCTGAACATGGGATGGAGGCAAATTCTGTGCAGCAGTTCATAAGGTTGTTAGATTTATATTTTATCACTATTCGATTCAGAAAACGATTGCGCACTTACGATGAGAACTCACATTTGTGAGTCCTGCAATACCGCGAGTCAGGTTTTAAATGTTAAACGAGAACGATGGCGATAATCACAGCTGACAAATTTTTATACCGTTTTTCTCCATATTTCGAAAGAGTTTTACAGAATTCATTTCTACTTTCTCTAGAATACAGTCAGAAATTTAGTACTACTTAGTCAGCTGCCCTACCAGATAGATCAAGAGACTCGTGACAATGCATCTCAAACGCAGGAGACCCGACAACTGAAATAAAATCTACATTCTCAGGCGGCAATTGCATCACTGGCATGTAGAGAGCAGGAGTGGAGACCCTTGTCAGTTCCGTCGATTCCGATTCAGCACAGGTTCGACACAACTGGCTGCAAGGCTGCATTCCCCTGGGGGGTCGTCACCATTGTAACTTAAAAATGGGACAAAAAATGACTCCAGCAGACAAAAAAGCTGTACAAGTCGCAAACTTGTACATAACAATGGGTGATGATGGTAGTCGACTCACCTGTGCCTCACCGGAGATGGCTTTCGCTAACAAAGTCTTCCCGACACCTGGAGGCCCAACTAATAAAACTCCTTTTGGAAGCTTCGCACCAATGCGGTTAAACTTTTCTGGGTTACGAAGAAACTCAACAACATCTTGCAGTTCCTTCTTCACCTCATCACACTAAAACAGGTAAAGTAACCATGGCATTACTTACGCCCTGAACGTCATTAAAATCAACATCAGCGTTCTCTGCGAAAGATGCAATACTGGGATCTAACATCCTTGGAAGAGCACCTAAAAATCGTCCAGAAGTGATCAACTAGCATACTACCACCAAGGAGTTTGTCTGAAGATCGAAGTAAAACGTAAAGTATGACGCCGTATAGAGTTATCTTTAGAAAAGTGTATATGATTGTTTGGAATCTTTTGTTTTTTCTGTCAGTTTCCGTAGTAGATTGAAGTCCCTTCCGATAAGCATCCACAATCTTTAGTTGAACAGGCGGTGACTGGTCTTTGACTAGCTCATTCAACTCTGTATCCATTAAATCCGTTTTTCCGGATGCGCTCTGTCGGGCGTTTCGAGTATCAATAATAAAAGTGGGGCGTGATGCATCTATCTTTCCGGTGCTCGTGAATGTACGCTGCAGGGCATGACCAAAGGGTGAGCAGACTGGTAGGAAAGTGGAGCGAAAGTATGGAAGATCACGGAGAGCCCTGCGTAACAATCTCATACTTCGATTACTCATTTGTATCTCTATTAAACAAGGTTTCTGCGGGATGTTTTAAGGCGGAAGACGTACATACTAGCATCATAGTGGGTAAACTCGGGGCCGTCGAATTCGCGAGTCGTGAAACACGAGGAAGGGTGGATATTGGGAAAAGATCGTAGTTCCGATTACGGTTAGCCTTCCTTGGCACCACGCCATCCTGTTTACAATAAGCTTTTTATTGAACGATGATCATCATGGAGCGATAATTACAGTTATCATCAGGGTTATGCTTTAGAATAATTCTCATGAGGACCTCTTGCATTGTTGTCTTACCTCCCTGATAAGAGAACCTTATTGCATACCAAAGTAAAACATGGTGTATAGTAACATGATGATTTAGAAAACGCAAGGACCTAGCGATTATCAAATTTTTATTTTGTGGACGATAGTCGACCTGTAACCCCGCATCCATCTGCTGTCTGGTTGTTCAACGGTTTCTTGTATTATGGATAGGTGTATTTCCGAACATTTCAATGCTGACGATGAATGAAATGTTTAGTACTCCTAGCGGACGTCACCCATTGAACAAATTATCCCCATCTCAAAAACGCGACCGCTTTCTATAGGTCCTCTGTGTATCGATGGTGAATTGAGATCCCTGATGAACAGAAGAGGGAAGTGGTTCAAGTTCAAGTTCAGCTTCAGGTAGGACTAGAACGATAGGATGAATCCCGTAAGTGTTCCTTCTTGAGCGGGTCGTTGATCCAGGAGTTGATAGGGATGCTCCGACTTCATGACGGATCTAAAACGTAAACACCCGAAATAACACCCCGGTCCACCTATTTTACGCCTACGTTTCTTGCATTAGCTGTCCCTGTCATGCCAGTTACGTGACGTAAGTAAGAGAGGAAGAAAAATCAAGGTAAAGGGTAAGAGACATTAGTTAAAATAGGGGATAGCACCAATAGTGAGGGAAGGTGCAGAAAATATAATCGAAGTATCAAGGTGGGAATTACTCAGAAAAAAGGAAAGGTTTCGTGCTGCCACACAAGCGCATCTAGTTAGCGCACAAGCCCTTTGCCCGCAGGTTCCTTGACAACATTTTCTGTAAGCGGCTTCTAGCGCTCGATGACGACCCGTAACAGTGTCTCCGCTCAAACTCGATCGGACGGCGGTTCGTCTAGCTACATACAATGCCCGCGGAAACCAGATAAACTAGCAGAACTAAATAGCCGGGACAAATCAGGGCCAACCTTCCCAGTCAAATACGGTGTATTAGGGCTAGGTCCCCTCTAATCCTTCGACAGTGCATTACATTCATCCCCAAACTAAGTAGGCCTTCTGGGTACTTTTGTCCTCGCGCCCTCTCGACCAACTTAGTACCGACATGCAACACCCTTTCTAGGTCCATTTTCGCCCGAACAAGGCATGGCGGACAGGCCTGGACGCAATATTATAGGTGAGGCCGCACAAAGTCTGAAAAGTGCTTCAAAATCCCAACGCTTTAAGCTCACACGATCAGCGCATGATTACTTCGGTTACAAACGGTTAGGAAGGCCCGTACTAAGCAAAAACGTGAGGATCGTCAACAACATGAACTTTTCCTAGCCACAATCTCTAGAAAGCCTCCCAAGACGATATTCTCCTCTCTAAAACGAGCACCAGAGCGGGTAGTAATATACACGCCTTGTGTTTCTTTGAGCGTGGGGATCTAGTTCATGAAGACTCTGACAAGGCCAGTCTCCTGGCGCGGTAATATTCTTCAGTGTACTCCACAACAACGTCGTTGGCTGACGGTTCTGTGTAAACTTCCCTTCTCTGTTAGAGCATGCCGGTATTAACACTGACGTCATGTTGAATCTTCTTTGTGAGTTGGCTCCTTACTCTTCGTCTGGTTCTGACGGCTTGCACCCCTTGTTCCGCAAGATCGTAGCCCAGTATATTGTCACAGCGATCTCGCAGATCTGTCGATCGGTTCACTCCGGACTTCGCCCGTTGCTTGGAAGATGGGCATCATCAAGCCTATATAAAAAGGAGGATCCGGCAATATCCAGCTAGCTACTGTCCCCTTGCCTTACATCGATAGTGTGCAAATTCTTGGAACTGGTCCCGAAGCGGGCACTTCGGCTTCGGCTCGAAGGTTGGATTTGCTATGCGGTGACCAGGACGGTTTGCGCAAAGCTTGCTTCTGCTCCACCAACTTGTTCATGGATAGAGGAAAATGGGCAGATTTATTGGATGTTGGCAAGCGTCAGAATGTTGTGTTCGGGGATTTCAGTAAAGGTTTTGATAAGGTCCCGTATGTACAGCTTCTCTTCAAACTCCGAGGAAGCGGCGTCATTGGAAACCTTCGCTCGTGAATTTCCGACTTCCTGCACAGTCGTTCCATGTTGGTGAGAGTGAGCGAAACTTATTCCGATCCTGTGCATATGACCAGCGGGGTCCCGCAGGGCTCGGCCCTTATCCCCGAACTCTTCAACCTATGCCTCAACGAGCTGCCTTCTGAGCTTCAAACGGATTTCTTAAGTAATGCAGATGACCTAAAGATATAAGTGGAGCTATCCTCTCTAAAAGACGCTGATCAACTACAAGAGACGCTTGATATCCTGCGCAATTAGTCGATTCGCTGGCGTTTACCCAGTAATCAAGACAAACGCTTTTTCCCGCCGATTGGCGCTCTTGAGCCATTCGGCGCTTACCAGGTAAGTAGCTTCTTGCTCAAAAATGGCATTTCAGAGGGTTCTCTAGGCGTAATATTTTTCCCAGACTTGAGATCCACCCTGGACACATGAAGTAGGTTGCCGCTGCTTACAGGATGTTTCACAACGTCCGAAGAGCTATCCTTCGCCTGACACCGGAGCTTTTTAGACTCCTGTTTACCTCCTATGCGTGCTCGACTCTAGCGTACGGTCTCCCTGCTGCCTACCCACTAACCAAACCTGAGCGTGACATGACTGAAAAGGTCCGACAACGTGTATCAGTTTGTCTCTGAATACGTGACCTGCCTTGCCCCTTTCGGCTTTGACATTTGAATATGTGTTCTATGAATTACGGTCCTAGGTGCGGGATGTGTTTTTACCCGTCGCATCGTCAGGCGAGAGCTAGGGAGAGGGCTGCAGAAATACTTCAACCTCAAATTTAGGCGTTCGACTGGAGGATACCGGACAAAAATATATAAACCAAGGTGGCCCAAAGTACTGTCTGTTCTTGCTCTATCCACTCGCGTTGTGAACAGCAATTACCGGCTACCGCCGCAAGTCGCCAATACGAAGACAGATGATGGTTTCAAACGACTACTTGATTCCCACACGTTAAATCTGCCGGGATCGTGTTGCTAAACCTACAATAGCGACGGTCTCTCCGGACTTTCCGTTGCGCGAGGACGAGCTTCCCAGCATTGCACAGAAAGCGGTGGAACTGAAAAGGGATCTCCATCGTGTTCTCGACGACCCAAAGAACCCAATGAATCTGCGTGTCAGCCACTGATAAGTCGCATAGTAAACGTGCTCTCCCCTGGCATAGAGATTTGCGTGTTCTTCTTCACCAAGAACAGTCAGCATACACTTATTCGAAACGGAATAACTCCCCGTGTTCAGTGGGCATATTGTTATGGAACTTTTTCCAATTGATAATGAATTGTGCTTCACAAGCCGTTTTAACGAGCTTTGTGCTTATATCCAGGCGCTCCACACTCGTTGTTAACAGTTTTATTGCTGCCATACTGTGACCGATCCAGACCTCTCCGCGCTAGCTGCTTGTCCTAGAATTACCTCCGTAGGATCACCGATAACGAAGCTAGGACGTAATTTGTGGGTTCAACTGTATACGCCCAACGCCGGCACTTTCCGCTGTCGGCAACCCACTATCATTCAGTGCTAACGGCTTTGTCCTACAAGAATCAGTGTGGATCAATAAGCTAGACAAACGCCGTATATTTGTATCCTCGTCGTACACATTCGTCTACGGTAACCGAGGTCAACATATACCCGGAACAAATAACACAAACTTCACTCGCCCTCTACTTCACCTGACCAGACAAGGGAAGCGTTCGTTCGCAACAACGGACCTCAATGAACTTAATTCCACCAAACCGCAAATATGGTATGCAGGAGTAGATACGTTCAGATAAGCGTGGCATTAGGTGTGAAGTTTGTGGCTTTCCATTCTACCTCACGGTGATGGTCTAAGTCAAATACCATACTAGAAAATTCAATCTGACTGATTCGCTCTCATTTTGTTAAACTTGCAGAGCAAGCCGAATAGTCATAGGTACAATATCGCTCGTGAAAAGTGTGAAAATCTGACTGAAATAGTCCAGCCGCTAACACGCGGCAGGGCTTTGGCACGTAAACCCAACGACACCGACCTTGCTCTACAGCGAAACCCTCAGAGTCCTGTCCCTAAGACGACGGCTAAAGTTAGGCCTGCTAACCACCCGACGGCATCTACGAGAACTGCTTCGACGGTTAGTAACCCTTTAAGTAGACGAGACATATCCAGCGTGACTGCTATTAACTGAACAACAGATGCCATATCTTAAGAGTTGTTTACAACACTAACCCTGACAGCCCAGCGCCGGGCAGCATATGCATCGCTCGCCTCCATCAAAACGCCTAAGATACACATGCATGTCCATTTGCTGCACCAAATACGAGCGACGTGACGCCGTTTTCTCAAGCTTAACTGGTGTCCGTTAAACCATCCATTAATAGAAAAAACACTCAAACCAACATTTGCTAAACAGCACCGCTGGGCGTTAACGGTCGTGTGCACTAACTTTCCTTTTCAGAGCCGTAACAACAAAGGGCAAGTTGGTGGACGGGCGCAACCAGTGGCATTCTCTCTGCGATGCGGTCAGTATTTGGGTTGATCCAATGGCGCTAGGACACGTAACGCGTCGTCCAACATCAGTGCACTAAAGCAAACCCCGATTTTTCGAGTAACATTAAAGTCAACTGAAAAGAAAGAGATAGTTCTACTCTTAAATAAATAAATAAATAAATAAATGGTATGTTCTCTGTAAAACGACATACCTCTAAAAAGCATGATCAAATATGCATACAAGCATAGCTTCTTTGGAATATTAAAATATTTCGTTACAATGAAAAGAATGAAAGAAAAGATGCAGTCCATATGAG